GATTTCATTTACCTTTACCTTTTCAACTAACATAGTGACAATGAAGTTAGCTCTGAGATGTTTATTCAGAATAAGTTGTAAAGTTTTAATGAATGATGAAAATGATTTAGCCATGTTGTTGCTACTGTTGAATACAGAATTGTGTTACTCATGCTTCTGCACAAAGTCTAAGACTACAATTCTGCTGAAAATAACATGAAATCTGACTTGTTTCATCTGATTTACCTAAACTAGAAGGAACATTGTCTTGTATCAGAGTGAAAATCACTTTTTCACTCAAATGCTGTCCGATAATTAGAAGTTGAACTCAAAACTCTTTAAGTTACAACTTCTTGTTTTTATCTGGTCCTTTCCAATATGTATGATCACATGATTAGCAAAATATAGTTGTTTGGAAAACCTCCTACACTGCTTAATGTTACAGCTACTATCTCTTGAGTTTTTCATCAAAAAAAAAAAATTAACAATGTACCATAAACAGAGATCATGACACGTGAGTAAGAACAATAGATGATTGTAGGGATGACAAATGGGCAGATTGGATCAAATTCAGGTGAATAAAAATGGGTCAAAGTAATTATTAGGTCAACAGCCAACCAGACCAAAGTTTATTTGGATAAAGATAGGTCAAACAAGGGTCATAACCCAAACCTCCCCTCTTTTTGAGTTTATCATAGTTATAACAACAGAAAACTCATCAAAGTTTTGAGTTTGAAGCTGGTGGTATGTATATGAGTGCATTCATGTTTAAGGTCCAGTGATTTATCTATGTCAATGAGATTTTAATCTGACAAATTAGACTAATTGTGCCATCTAAGGTTTACGAAAAAAAAATATGCTAATTTAGTTAAGTTGAGATAGCATAAATGACGGAATCATAGTCATGCAAGTCAGTAAGTTCCGCACCTACATCAATGACCACTACGCCAAATTGCCCCACTAGGCTTACTAATCATCCTGTAACCAATAAGCCTTGGTGGCTCCATCATACCACTATAGCAAGGAGCAATAGTCAAAATACTAAAGGGTCGACGGAGAACTGATAAAAGTAACATACCACAATTATTATGCGAAAGTAAGATAAGTTCATTACACTAAACACCACAACTCCATAAGCATTCAAATAAACTAGACAGTTTTATACCGACTAAACGACTAAAAGATTCAAGTCATATTGTTGACCCAGTACCCATAGACAATAGCAATAAGAAGCATCCATAGTTGAGAGGACCTGCATCATTAGTGACTAAGAGCTTCCGTTGTGCCAGTGCCACTGAGCATTTGGATCAAAAGAGGCATGACCTTTAACTGCAACAAGATCAAATAGAAAAATTAGTACAAATAATTAATAAATCGAACCATATGAATGAGAAATTATTGACTTGTACCTCAAGTAGAATCATATTAAAAACTTTTTTTAGATACTACATATTTGACCATCGAAATCATGTTACCTAAGAGCTAAGATGCCAACAATTTTTTATCAAGTCTAACATGCCAACATCATATCAAGCAAATCAAGGCATGCAACAAATGAGTGAAATAACATGAGTACAAGAGGATTAATGAATAGGGATTTATGAGAGGGCTGGAACAAATAGGGCAATGGATAGAGGTATTTACAATGATAGTTCAGTATCAAAAAAAGAAAGCACAAGGATGGCGACGAAGTCACTATAAACTAGCTAGACTATAAACAATCAACATCAGATTTCCTCATGCATTTTCTTTATCAAATAATAAAATGCCGTACATGAACTTTCAAATTAATGAGCACAAGCATGACACATGACAAATATTATAAGATGAACACCAACCAGCCAGTTTGTTGACGCACTAACTACTCATGCAAAGTTGCAAACATCTGGTACCGCCGTCCTGATTTCTCTTTCTTGTCATTCACACAAACGACAAAAAAGGAGAAAAAATGGTTATAACTAAACAAATCTAACTATTCCAGTTCTTTGAACGTGCTCTAGATTTACTTTCCTATAAGACGTACTCTCAACCAATGGTGTACATCGCAACACCGATAAAGACATTAGATATCAATTGTTTCTCAGGGTAATAGATAACGGTAATGGATGGCATATCCCAGGTATGCATGCATATATAATCATTGCATAGGTAAGAAAATTGATACATATGCTTTGGCTCCATCTTAGCATCAACACCAATAAGGCATTAACAGTTACCACTATGAGAAAACTTGTAAAATCCCATTAAGAGAATCAATCATGAACTCCTTTATAGTATAGAGAAATGAAACAATCATGTGGAAAGCATATCAATCTTTTGCTCCAAATTCAGATACCACAAAATCAAGATACTCCAAATCATTTTCTACACTAATGCAATATATAGAACAGGTGATTGATGAAAGTTTAGACTGGACCTGGAACTCCAATCTCCATGTTGCAATATCAATGAGAGAGTGCAGAAAAAAATTATTTTTTAAAAGTAATGAGAGAATGCACAAAATTATACAAGTACTTTAGTCAAATTTACTTAACATTTCCCTAAACGCAAGAAGGCAAAAATATAAAAATGCAAAAATGTTTGTAGCTATTATCTAATAGAGTGCAAGTAAAATAAAGAACAAAAAAAATTGCAGTTACAAACCCCATGGGTGGAAACTTTTTTCCATGGAGACAAACCACTCATGGGAAAACGTTTCCTTGGTTGCTTCTCAGAAAGTATTTTTTTTAAAAAATAAAAAGGTACCAGCTTCAACACAAACAATCATGTGGAAAGCATATCAATCTACTGCACTAAATTCATATACCACAAAATAAAGATATGCCAAATCATTTTCTCCACTGATGCAATATATAGAAGAGGTAATTGATGAAAGTTTAGACTGTACCTGTAACTCTTATCTCCGTGTTGCAACATCAATGAGAGAGTGCAGAAAAAAATTATTTTTACAAGCAAAGAAAGAAAGCACAAAATTTTACAAGTACTTTACTCAAATTTAGTTAAGATTTCCCTAAATGCAAGAAGGCAAACATATACAATGCAAAAATATTTGTAGCTACTATCTGATAGAGTGAAAGTAAAACAAAGACCAAAAAAATTGCAGTTACAGACCCCATGGGTGGAAGCTTTTTTCCATGGAGACAAACCACTCATGGGGAAACGTTCCCTTGGTTGCTTCTGAGAAAGAATTTTTTTTTTTACAAAAAAAAAAGAAGTTACCACCTTCAACAAAAATGGAAAAAATCAATTCCACTTGACAAATTGATTCATTTTCTTCTAATCCTCGTAGTAAATTAAGGAGATGAAAAAGTTACCTTTGAGGATCACCGCTACCCTGCCCACTGCTCCCTCTAGTAGCATATGGATTATCGCCAGCAGCATACCAACCGAACTGCCGCGGGTACAACGGAGGCGGGACGTGCATTGAGGTAGTAACCCAAGGCATAGCACGCCTTCCCATGATCCCCCTGGGTGGAGCAGGCATTGATGGAGCAGGTGGCTCCATTGATGGAGCAGGAGGTCCCATTGATGGAGCAAGAGGTGCCATTGGTGGAGCAGGAGGTCCCATTGGTGAGTAACAGTACGGGATATGATTTGGTATGTTACCCAGCATGCCAGGCACGTAAGTAGGAGCTTCTTCCTCTGTCTCATCCATAGAAATTATGTCCACAAGGAAATAAAGAGTTTAGTCTTCTTAAGCACCGTAAAGAAGTCGATCTTTTTCAGAGTCCGGCGCTGGCATTCCTGGGCCTTAAGCCAGGAACGATGGGTGAGCTCCTGAATAAAAAGCTCACATGCCTTATCAAGTAGAATAGGTGATTCAGCAGAAATCATACGGACTTCCTTGTCCGATTTCATGATCTTCTTGATTCGGAAAATGGGAAGACTGTGACCCTCGAAATCTCCTATCTGCATGATCTCTTGAAGTTGAGCTGCCCAAAACAACTGCAACTGCTGCTGGAGGAGATAATTGTTTGCGTTTACAACCGGCTGAGCAGTTGCCTCCGCCACCGCCACCGCCTTTACATTCACCGCCGCAGCAGCAGCCTCTGCATTCACCGACGTTGCCACCTCTACATTCGCTGCCATCGGGTCAGAGTGACTTGCCATTGTTGTTGTTTTTCTGAGCGATAATTTCAATGCTCTCAGACTGAGAGGAATAGAAGATGACTGGATACAGTTGTGTAGCTCTCTTATATATATACAAAAGAGGAAAATAACTAAGAAAAAATGACTATTTTAGTCCCTAAGTTATAAATTTATTGCAAATTTGGTCCCTGTAATAAGAGGCTAAATATATTTAACCTTTAATTAACTAAAATGAGTAATTTTGATCCAATCACTAAAGTCCAAACAGTAACGGACATTTTAATCCTACGAAGGGCAAATTGGGATTACATGTCACAAAATTGTAGTATAGTCTTACATTATTTATAAAAACATAGAGAATAGAATTAAATTTGGATTATAACTTTTTGAGCTAAGTGTTAAAAACAACACCTAAATTTTTAATTTTTTTTCTGAGTTTCATATCTAAACTATCGTTTTTTAGTTTGAGAAACACACATCTCTCTTTTATACCACTCTCATCATGTTATGTTTAGTACAATTTCTCTCTTTTATTTTAAAGAATTTCCACATCACACTCCACATTAACAAAATATTTAACCTTGACAAAAAATAAATAAATTATTAGTATTAGCTAAAATTAAAAATTCAAAAACTATTATAAAAAAATAATATTTTCTCTATAAAATAAAATGTAAAATATTTTTCTTACCACACACCATTTTTTAAAGTTTTTTATTTTACTTAAATTTCTTTTATAAAAGTATTTCATTTTTTACTTCATCTCCTCCCCCTCATCAAATATTAATTTAGATATTATTTTAATTTTTAAAAAATATAATTCTGCCCATCCCACTTAACCCTCTGCTTTTAATTTTTTTTCAGTGTTTGAATATACATATCGAAAATATTATTTACTTGTCGTCACAAAACTTTTTATATTTTTTTAGTTGTTTATGTTATATTCAGTACACTAGTAGAATTTTTTTCTAAAAATATTTGTATGTTCTAAAAAAACGTAAAAAAATAAAATTAGGAGCGAAAAATTAAATAGGATGGGGTAGATTTTTTTAAATAAAATAATATCAATTTCTATCGGGGGAGGGGGCAGGGGGAGGATGAAATATGGATTTTCTACAAATATTTCATAAATGATTTTTTTTTAAAAAAAAGATGGCGTTGTCGTGGGGGAGGGATTACATGGAGGAGGTGGTGAAGTGGGATAAGAAAAATAATTTAATTTTTTATATGGATAACAATTTTTAATTTTAATTAATATTAATTTTTTATTATTTAATTTTTATCTAGATAAAATATTTTATCTATGTGGAATGTCATGTATCTAAGTTTTTTCATATAAAAGAGAGAGTGCACTATACACACCACTGATGTGTGTTTCTCAAACTAAAAATTGATAGTTTAGGTATAATTATGAAATTCACACTTTCAATAGTTTAGTTATGAAAATCTAAAAAAGTGAATATTTTAGGTGTGTTTTTAACACTTACCTCTAACTTTTTTAAGATTTTAGACTTTTTTATATATGTGCTTGAATATTTTGATATTGCGTGTTCATATTTATTTATTTTCACCTTTATCTTCTGTATTTTTATCGTTATAAAAGAAAAAATCATTTGTGTGTTCACACACATTAATGATTTGTAATTTATTTCAATTTGCTATGTTTTTGAGAAACGGTTTTGAAATGGAGTTCTACATGACAGATGGAGATGAATTTTATTTGTAACGTTTTTATATTTTGAATTTTATTTATGGGTTAAATTTTTAACGTTTTATGTGTTCGTTCACATATGTAGAAAATCATTTGTGTGTTCACACAGATTAATGATTTGCAATTTATTTCAGTTTGCTATGTTTTAAAATAGAGTTTTGTAGATATTTGAGAAACAATTTTGAAATGGAGTTCTACATAACAGATGGAGATGAATTCAAATTGTAACGTTTTTAGATTTTGAACTTTATTTATGGGTTAAATTTTTCAACGTTTTATATGTTCGTTTAGATATATTTTTCTTTTTCTATCTCCCTTTGTTTCATTCTCCTCAATTTCAAAAGAAAAATTTACTGTGTTCACACACATTTCTGCATACCTTTTATGTCATATTTTTCTAAGGGAAAAGGGTCAAATACGCCCCTAGACTATTAGAAAAGGTCTAGATATACCTTCCGTTTAAAGTTTGGTTCACTGATGCCCTCGCCATCCAACTTTTGGTCCAAATATGCCCTTATGGGCGTTAGTTGTCATGTTGGACATATCAAACTCATTTTTCATTTCTTTAAATGTCACATGGAATTGACATGTCATTTTGACCTTACCACTAAACATTTATATGAAAATGGAAAGATGTTCGGACTCATAAACACCTAATCCGACCCATAAATCAATCCCCTTCTAAATAAATTATCCAACCAATTTTCAATAATATTGTTTAATTTTAATTTTTTTGATAAATTTCGAAAATGTGTAATTGATTAATTAAAAAAAATAGGAAAATATGAAATAAGTATATAATTAACACCAAAAATTCATAAATAATTATAGTAACCTTAAATTCAATTTAAACATTTTTTTAAAAAAAATTATGATAAATCCCGAAATGAGTAATTAACTAATAAAAAGTATGAAAAAATATAAAATTAACGGCAAAAATTAAAAAATAAAAACAGTATCCTTAAATTCAACAATTTCAACATTTTAATTTTAAATTTTTTCAACAAATCTCAAAAATGAGTTTATTAACAAAAAAATATATGAAAAAATATAAAAATTACGCAAAAAAAATAACAAATAAAAATAGGAAAATATGAAAAAATAAAAAATAAAAAATTATTCAAATTATTGAATTTAAATTTACTATATTTATTTGTGAATTTTGACGTATATTTTTTATTTTGTTTTCATATTTTTTCCTTTTTATTAAAAAATTACTCATTTTCGGGATTTGCCGAAAAATATAAACAATTTAAAAAAAATTGTTGATTGAAATAATACTATATTTATTTGTGAACTTTTGGTATTAATTTATATTTTTTTCATATTTTTTATTAATCAATTACTCCTTTCGAGATTTATCACAAATAAAATAAAATTAAAAAAATTGAAATGTTAGATTTAAGGTTACTATATTTATTTGTGAATATTTGGCGTAAATTTATATTTGTTTCATATTTTTTCTATTTTTATTAATCAATTACTCATTTTCGGGATTTACCGCAATAATAAAAATTAAACAAAATTGTTAAAAATGGGTTGGATAGTGAATTTAAAAGGAGCTGATTTATGGGTCGGATTAGATGTTTATGAGTCCGAATATCTTCCCATTTTCATATAAATATTATGTCAAAAGACCAAAATGACATGACAATTCCATGTGGCATTTAAAGAAATGAAAAATGAGTTGGATATGTCCAACATGACAACTAACGCCCATAAAGGCATATTTGGACCGAAAGTTTTACAGCAAGGACATGAGTGAACCAAACTTTAAACGGAGGGTATATCTAGACCTTTTCGAATAGTTTAGGGGCATATTTGATCCTTTTCCCTTTTTTTAATTCTCGAAGAAAAATATATTATTCTCTTTATAACAATTCAAGATTATTACAAATTTTATTTTCTAAAATTCTCTTGATACTTTATCAAATATTTTTAGCATTATCATTATTTATGCTTAACTATTTGATTGATCCATTCTTTATCATTAGTTATGAATTTTTTTATGTTCTTTCCTGGCTATATATAGTATATTCTTTTGGCCGAAAATAATTTATAAAATTCACCAATTGATAAGAAAAAATTACATGAGTTAATCCTTTTTAAAAAATAATTACTGATTTTAAATGTATTCTTTAAATATTATCATTTATAGCAATATATAACAATAAGATATATTTTATTAAATTTGTCTCTCTTTTGCCTCTTTTGCCTCTTCTATCTCGCCTTTTTTTATTTTTCTCTCTTTCTCCCTTTTTTCTTTATATTGTTATTTTTCTCCTGTTTTCTTTTTGCAAATGATTTTCCTCTCTTGCTTTCTTTCTATTGTTTTTTCTTTTTTTTTCTTGTTGCACTTTCTCCCTCTCTTTCTCTTGTTTTTTTCACTTCTCTCTCTCTATTTTTTTTCGTAGTGTAGTCAATAATGTGTAGATTAAATAATTTTTTATCAATAATTAATTAAATAGACAAGTAATATAATCATAAAAAATAAAGAGACATAATAAATTGCAAAATGAGTTGAACTTGAATTAAAAATGTATTCCTCACATATTAAAATTGAATTAGATGAGAATTAATATGAATGCAAAATGTAGCAAACAAAAAATATTCTATGATCTGTAAACTGAATAACTGAATGAATTTGTATAACAATAAATTTCACAAGTAATTAAACGTAAAAAAATCAACTAATAAATTATAAAATCAATCAAAATTGTATTTAAAAGTGTATTACACCAATATCAAACAAATATATGAATTCAATTTACTTTAAGCATATGAATTACACAATATTAAAGTTGAATTAGAAGAGACAATTAAGAATGAATGAAAAATGTAACTAATGAAAAACAAGACAATGATATATATACTGAATTAAACTTATATTATTTATGAATAAAACATGTATATTATGTTTCTTATAAATTAATTTTGATTTGTATCACTAAGAACATGAGTGTTGTTTGCAATATGTAATAAAAATGTATTGTACATGTATTATAAGTATGTTACCTAAAATACTTTAGTTCATATCATTAAAAAGGGGGTGAAGTTTGCAATATGCATTATAAATATAGAATGTATTATTCATGATTTTAATATAATTGTGAAACATATCTTATACAACTTTAATACAAACGTGATATAGTTCGGTTAATATCAATTCTAAACTAAACAAAACTCTCTTAAAATTGAGGTATAAACTCCAAAAAATATTTTAATTATTTGTAGGAACAACCTATCCAAACTAAAGAGCAGACAGGTAATCTAATTGTAACAAATGAAGAAACATAAGAAACTGTCAAAT